AGTGAGCCTCTGGTTTCTTATATTCTCTGTCTTGAATGTTAAGCTGTCTCATCTTTTCTTGGGTTTCCCTTTTGTTATTGTTCAATTCAGATTGTTGGTTGTTGCTGTGAACCTTAAAGTTGTCATACAAATCTTGGAGCTTCTCAATGACATTCTCAACTCCTTGTACATATAAGTTAGCTTCTATAGCCTCAACATTACTGTCTTGTCCTCTCATTTCAGCCTTGGCATGGATAGATTTAGGAAAGAAAGATTCCTCTGAAGAAACCCATTGAACTTTGTGATGAACTGAAGAACGTAGGCTTTCGACTAAACGGGTAAAGTGCATATTACGAGAGTTTTGGTATCCTTCCTTGCTAGGTTTGGCAAAACGAAGAGTGGTAGATGCTTTTTCCTTGATTAATTCAAGCTCAGGCAAAGATCCATGAAGTTGGCTCAGCATTTTCAGTGTTGAGTAAATGTAACTAGAAACCTGTCTGGAAGGTTCAAACCAAGTTCTGATAGCCAATTTCTGAAGATCAGCAGAAGTGGGAGAACTATAAGTTAAAGCAGTAATAGCAGCAATCCTAACTTCAGGAGTCTCAGCAACATTCTCAATAATAGATTTGAAAACAGGTCTGTAGATGCTGGGATTTTTCATGGCAGCATCAAGAAGTTTATAAATAGCAACAGCTCTTGGATGGCTTGGACTAGAAAGTCTTCCTTCTACCACTTTGAGAAGTTCCATTGTGGATTCTTCAATGTTTAAATTTCCAAGAGCATTTACATATGTGAGGAGAGTAGATAAGTCATCTTTAGAAGATTCTTGAAGTTTCTGAGCAAGGTATGGAACAAGGTTGTTCTTGATGACATTCATATCTTTGTTGCAGAATTGTCCATAGATTTTGTATGGGAATTCATTCCTTATGCTCTGAGAATCGACACAAGCCTTGTTAATTAGTTGAGTAAGTCCCATTGCATAAGCAGCTCTGACAACTCTGTTCCTTTGAATATTTTCTGTCTTCAAAAGGTCAACCAATTCTCCGAGAAGCTCCTCAGTAGGTGTTTTTACAGATCTCAAAGCATTAGAGAGAATCCAGGACCAGGATGCTGGATCTTGATTGATTTCTCCTGAAACAACTTTGTCCTTGATCAATTTAATGCAAGGGTTGGTGGCAACCATTGAAATGAGGTCAAAGAAAACCTTTTGAACCACAACTTCATATCGTCCATTTCCATACTGTGCCCGAATATTACTTTCAACTTCTTTCAACTCATTATAGCTAAGTTGGCTGAGAACTCTGGAAGCAAGAACCGAAAGAGCAGCAACATCCTTATCTTTCTTTGAGCTTTCATTCATCTGCTCGGCAGACTCAATGATTTCTGCAAAGAGATCAACAACATTTTGTTTTAAATCTCTCTGGTCTTCAGGTCTTGGGAAAAAGAGCCTTGGAGCTGATGTCATATCTGGAATAGGAGCATGTTTTTCTAAGGAATCTTCAAACTGAGTTTGTTGTCCCTGTTGTTGTCCAGATTGCTGACTTTGCTGTCCTTGCTGTTGCTTCTGTTCTTGTCTCATTGATTTGCTGCTTGCTGAACTTCCAGAGGGATATTCAAAAACCAAAGATGGATATCCTTTAGGTGAAGATGGCTCAGAAATTTCATCTCTGACTGAATCAACAGATTCAAGATCAAGGGTAGAGAAAGATGTAATGCTCAATTTCTCATTGCTTTCATACCTTCCAGAAGCACTGGAAATGATTTTGTTTTCAGAGACAACCTTACGAATGACATAATCTTGAAGGGATCCACAGATAATAGTTCTGATATGAGAAGAGGAAGAAGGATAAGAAGAAGCTCCAGATCCATCAGTCTTAGACCAGATACCATAGCTCTGATGGAAAACTGGGCGATCTGAGCATATGTCAAGATTTTTAGTCTTGATGATTTCAAAATACTCCTTTCCTTCACAAGCCTTTGATCCAGTATTCTGATTGTTAGAATGATCATTTCCAGCATCAGAAGCCTGTTGAATGGGTCTTTTGTTTTCAGCATCTTCAAATTCTTTGACTAAGTAGGAAGGCAGCTTGTTAATTGCATATACAGTTTCACATTTTCCCAGAACAGATGATTCTTGGGTTTTAAAAATAGGAAGAGACTCAACCTGGTTTCCTCTCTGAACTTGGTTGTTTTGTCCTTGAACATTTTGAGAATCAACATTGGACAGATCATACTGAAGTTTTGAGACAAGAGCCTTTTTCATGTTAACAATGAATTCAGGTTCTCCATTTTCAGTTTGAATCTTTTCAACTAATCCCCTCTTGTGGAAAACGGTGAAAGGAGTTTTCAGCCAAGTTTTGATGTTGCTAGGTATATTTTCCTCATTACCAGAGGAAACAAGTCTATCCTGACTCCACTCAAGAATATCATTATAGCTGACAAATCTTGGGTTATCAAGCTGAATTCTGCAGGTAGAATCTTGTCTAGGCTGAATTCGAACTTGAGCAAAAAGCCTAACACCAGAATATTGGCTATTAAGCTCTTTTATCCCAGTAAGAACTTGGGATGAGTATTTATATCTATACTCTTGAGAATGAGTCCAGCCATGGGGCTGAATATAGCCAGAAGCTACACACCCAATTAGGAAGAGAACTGAGAGAGATCTCATCTTGTTGCCTCAACAAGTAGATTTGATCTGCTGATTGAATATAAATGTGGTCTTATATATCAAACTTCTCTTTGTTCTATTTTTTTTTGCAATTAGTTGTTGTCAGCAAAATCCAGATTCAAAGATGCAAAAATTTATTTAACTTCTTTACACACGTCAATAATTTTTAGGAGGTAACAAAAAGATTATTCTTATTCATATTTAATTCATTGAACTTAAAGTTTTCATTTTTTAACCCTTTTGGAAGAGAACTCAACTTTGGATTGTTCTGGATTTACAGTAGTTGTTTTAATAAAAGAAAATCAGGAATATTAACTTTTATGCCGTTCCTCGAAAAACGAAAAATTCTGTGGACAAAATTTTGAGTGAAAAAGATCTGATCTTTATATTTAAAGTTGAAACTTTTTAGATGAAGTGATTGATGTTTAAATCCGTAATAGTGGTTGTCTCTTAGAAGTACTCTTCAGGGTTTAGAAATATGCACTGAGAATTAATTGAGAATTAATATAGTCCTGATGACCTCACAAGATACGCATTAGTTCTTAATCTTCTCCTCACTCAAAATTTTCCTTTTAAAGAAATTAATTTCTCCTTTACTAATTTAGTCTGAGAGAACTGTAACGCCTCCCGAACTGGCGGAAAACGGAGACAAACCTCACCGCCGAGAAACAAAGATGTCTCGAGATACTGGGACAACGATGCTGCGTCGTTCCCTCTAATTTGTCGCCCAATACAAACGAGCGACATTTTCACTCTAGAATCCAAAAGACATGAGGAATATGAAGAGATTAAACCATAATCTCTCTTAATCGTCCTAGACAGTAGCGCGGAACCATCAATGTTCTGCGTGAGTCTAGTCCTCTAGCATATGTTTTTTCTTCTACCGTGTTAATGCAGCCTAGACGATAAGAGGAACACGAAAGAAATGAAACTTAGTGTTTCTGCAATAAGCTATTTTGTATTAGCATGGAACCATCAATGTCCCGCGCTATTATGAGTTTCTTACCTATACGTCGGTTATATAGCTTCTAAAATAACATGCAGCAAGGAACCATCAATGTTCCGCGCTTGAATGTTCCTTAATTAAGTAGCTTCTTACCTCACGTCGGTTAACTTCAAGACTACATATTTAAATTAATACGCAGCCACACCAACGAAGAACCATCAATGTACTTTGTTGGTGGAGCTCTAAATCTGTGCGTTTTTACATAGTGTATTTTGCCTCGATATCAACCTTTCCTTAAAAATGTAAAATGTAGACGCAAACTGTTTTTACACAACTCGCTCAAATTAAATGTAAACGATTTGGTTGTAAAATATTTTTATCAAATCCACATAAACCTGTCTCGTCAAAAACCTATTTTATGCATTTAATGTTCCAACATTTCATTGTTACAGTTCTCAATTTGAATGTTTTGCATAATCTAAGAAGCATTGATACAAAAAAAATTTTATTTTAAATGTATCCGTAAATTAACTCCTATATAATTCTCACAAAATAGATGTAAACGAGTTTGATATAAAACTGTCTTATTTAATCCATGTGAACTATTTTGTACAATTTAAATAATCTCGATACGGAGATAATAAATATCTAGATCACAAAAAAAAGTTCTTAATCCCAGGATTAACACCACAAAAGATCTTACCCCAGATTAGCAAAAGGAAAAGATTTTAATTCTAACAACAGAACTGGAAAATTGGGTTAAATATTGTTGTTTCGTTAAAAGTTAGATAAGAAGCAGAAGGGGTAGAGGATTTAATAGTAATACATTCCCGGAGAATGATAAAAAAGATAAAAGAATTAAGTTTTACCACTCACTCTGATTTTATAATCCCTATAGCATTGCAACCCGATGTCGTAGACCTTTTAAACTATAAATTCTGTTGGATCAATTAATCTAAGTTTGAAATATCAAAGGTTCAGGTTGCAGAGATAAAAGGATTAGAAAATTTGAGTTTGTGGCAAAGTCTTAATTCCTATGATATGTGAGGAGGAGAGAAGATGAACTGCTTCGTTGTTTAAATTAACTAACCCCCTAAAAATGGATAGAAAACCCTATGTTACGCCATCTTATAGAAAACTAACCATGGGTAGGGTTGGATCGTTTCCACTTTTTTGAAAAACGATCGTTTCGTTCTTTAAAAGGACGAAGAAAAACGAGAAGTCTTTTAAATCGATTGTTTTTATTAAAATATCGTTTTTAAAAAATGGTCGTTTTCAAATTCGATCTTTATTTGTTTAAAAAAAACTATCGTTATTTTTTTAAAGATCGTTTTTCGTTTTTTGAAAGTTCCAAACGAGTTGTTCGTTTTCAAAAACGATAGTTTTTTCGATAGTTTTTAAAATCGATTAGCAACCCTAATCATGGGAAAGTCAGTTCTGTCAAGTCTAAGCAGTAAAGTGTTTGTTTCTGAACCGACAATACTACAAAATAGGAAAGCATTAGGTTTACTGTTTAGTAGTATTTCAGGGGACACAAAAATAAACTAAAATAATGAAACAACTTTACATCAAGTTATTAACACATGAGGGAGATATAAAATCTATTAATTTAATGAAACACTATGTGTTCATCGTGGGAGTTTGAAATCTGAAACGACTTGGTTTAAATCTAAAATTTTAAATTATTATAGATTGAAGTTTTCGATGCAAGATTCCTAAAAGTCTAAAAAACAACAAACTAACTTTTAGGCGACAAAGATTCTCAAACACTGGTAACCCTTGAAATGGAAACTAAACCAATTAACTTCATGCCAATAGCAGGTATTTTTTATCTTAAAGAGTTTAAAACTTCAAAATCTTCCCATCATACAATCGGAAACTCTTTCTATTCTTGCTTCAGCCGCCTTGACACAATTTTAACGGATTACTGAAAATCTCGATATTAATTTCTACCCTATTTTTTTTACATGTTTTGAAAAAACACAACCAACAATTACTAACAATAAGGCATAAAAAAACAAGGGAAAAAACCAAACGAAATGAAGAGCCCCAATTGCCACTCTTTCAAAACTTTAAACTTATCAGATAGTTCAAACTGTAAAGATGTTGTACTGATGTATTGTCACTTAGTTTTGTTGCATAACACTGCAATTTCCCTGAAGTAATAATGAAAAATGCATTTCTGTTTTTATTTATTCATTCTAAGATATTCCTTTGTCTAACTACAGCAATAAAAAAATCAAACAATCTGCAGTTATTGCAATTATAAAAGTCATAAATCTTAAAAGTTCATAGTTCTAAACATGAAATATTATGAGCTAGGATGTTGGGAGAAGGTTGATGATGAATGGAGGAATAGAGACGGAACAGAGTTTATACCAATCCAGTTCTCTGATATAAGAAGGAAGGAGATAGAAGCAAAGTATCAGGAGAAGTATAAGTACGGGACTCAGAAGATTAGGTAAATTCACATTTTAAAGTGAACTTCACTTACGGACATTCACCCGGACCCACGGACCATGGTAGACATCCGGCATCCGGACACACAGTCAAGAATAGACTTCCGGACACACAGTCCAGAATAGACATCTGGAAACACAGTCCAGAATAGACATCTGGAAACACAGTCCAGAATAGACATCTGGAAACAAGGTCCAGAATAGACATCTGGAAACACAGTCCAGAATAGACATCCGGACACACAGTCCAGAATAGACATCTGGAAACACAGTCCAGAATAGACATCTGGAAACACGGTCCAGAATAGACATCTGAAAACACAGTCCAGAATAGACAGCTGTAAACACAGTCCAGAATAGACATCTGGAAACACAGCCCAGACGACATATTGACATACAATTTAGTAGACATCCGGAAACACAGTCCAACAGTACAGTTGACATCTGGGCACACGCTCCAGTAGAAATCAGGACGCATGAGTCCAGTAGATATATGGAAACACCGACAAATAAACATCTGGGAGAGCTGAAGCACCCTCTACATAGAAGAGAGAGAAAATATATAATTCTAATTTTAAAAACTTAGAAAGGAATTTTAATGAAAAAAGAAAGCTAAAAAATTTTTGTGATTGACGTTAAAATTGATTTTGGAGACAGAAATGCATAAAAACCTGAAAACGTTTTACAGAGATGACTGTCAAAAATTAGTTTACACCATTAAATAAAATTCTATTGATAAAATCTATCCAGATCTACAAGTTTTGAGTATCCATTCTCTTATTATCACTCCCAAGCTGAACTTGAGGAGGAATTACTCCAGCTAGTCTCGGAGTTTTCCAACCTTGCCAGTCTCTACACAATCGGAGAAACTCATGCAGGGAATAAAATACTGGTTCTCAGGTATATATCAATTTTTACAAAAAAAAACATCTTTTAAAGTTTCAATAACCTTATCTTATCATACTTGTCCTTCCTTTCTCTTCATTTCAATTATTTTCTTTTTTACATCAATTTAAACTATCGCTGGTCAAAGTTAAACTCGACGACACAAGTAGTTAAACTAACCTAACTAGTTCAACTACCTTTCTTTTGTTCATACATTTCCAGCTCCGTTCTATCAAGGAATATACTTTTTACATCACATACAAACACCTTATGCTAGATTGGGAGAGCTTGTTGATGGAAGACGACCACTTTTAGTACCTCAGGTTAAACTCATAGGCAAGCATAAGAATTTTTGCTTTATTTAGATCAGATACTAGCTTTGATACCTTTGAAAATAATTTATAGATTTGAAAAAATGCGAACCCACCCCCCAACCCTTCTTTACGCCTTAAAACGTCCGTTCATTTGTAATGCGTAATTTTATGCAAATTGCACTTTTTCCATTTAGAATGCAATATTGATGCACATACCTCTATTTATACGATTGGAACCATAAAACTATGGACTGAATGTCGTCTTTGTAGTTCTTTCAATGTCACTAATGATTTTGTATTTGCCATTGTTGCCACTGATATATTTGTAAAAATGTTTAGATCACTTTTGTAGAAATAGTCCAAATGTAAAGTTACAAATTCTTCGCGACATTTTATAACTGAAAGAAAAAAGAAGATGACGAAAATTCCATTTTGCTTTTAGGAAATATACATGGAGATGAAGTAGTGGGTCGAGAACTTCTTCTAGTCCTGGCAAGGTGAGGTCGGGGTTTAATACATTTTTAGATTTATAAATTATATGTTTAGATTTATACTAGAAGAATCCAAGAATAACGAAGAGGTTAGAAGACTCTTGAAAAGCCTCGAGATACATATTCTACCGTCTCTCAACCCGGACGGATATTCATTAAAAACCAGGCAGTATATAACCTACTTTAAAAAGAATAGTTATTTCAGGAAGTAATTGATATATTGGTTAAAATGATCAATATCTATTTAAAAACCACTATTATTATTATTATTTGTATTATTATTATTATTATTGCTATTATTATTAGTATTTTTATAATTATTACATTCATAGCTAGATATTAAAAGATTAGCAAGAATTTATATCTGGAATGAATAGAGAAATATCTAGTTTTTAATATAGTTGAAAAAGGACAAGAAACAAAATATATAAACAAATGGAAAACTTTCGCATATGCTAAAATTGAATTTGAAATATCGTGAAGAAGGAAAAATTTATTTAAAAATTAATTGTTCTGAAGAGTTTAATGAATCAAGGGCAAATTGCTGAATCTACAGTTTGCATTGTCAAGAATTAACGACAAATTGCTGAATCTACAGTTTGTCAAGAATTAACGACAAATTGCTGATTCTTTCATTTCAAGAGAAACTTATAAACATAAAATTGTAAATATATAATATTTTAGCATGATGCAAACTTATTAATATTAATCAAATGTTTTAGGAACAACAAGAATGATCTAGATTTGAACAGGGACTAGCTAATTTGATTCATTCAAAATTAAGAAATATTTTCCAGATTTTAGCTACTCGGTCATTTAGCATCTTCACTGTTAATAAAGAAGTATCAGACATAAACCAAGAAAGTTGAACGCAACAAACTCTGAACTGAAATTATAATGTTACAAGAAAAGGTTAAAAACAATGAGAAACTTAATTTCAGCAAAAAATAATAAAAAAATAGTTTAAACCCTGAACTTACAGAGGGTTCCCGGATTGGGCTAATCTTGGTCAGGAGTTTGAAACCTTGAGTAATTGTAGGTAATGATATTATTTTTAAAAAAATATCTATACTTGAAAGGAAGGAACCAGGTAGACTATATAAAGCCAAATTCACGATTATCTGCATGTATCAAAGATAGATAAATACATTAATTAATGCATAGAGAGATAATCACCATCATTTGATAATCAGCATCATTTAATGCTGCAAAATTTTCAATCAAATTTGAGGACGGCAAAGAATATTTTCCTGATGACGAAGTATGAAAACTACAGTTTAAATATGATTAAGATATTATTTTTTTTTTGTATTTTGGAAAAAATCCAAGAAATCGTTGAAAATCATGTTTAGTTGTTGGTTTCCATTTGCACTTTCAAAGAAAGTGATCTTTTTAAATATATCAGTTGCGCACAAATGCACAAATATTAGTGTCCGTTTTGAAAGTAATCGGTGTTGCAAAGGAATTAAGTTTTTGTCACCAACTCAAATTGTCTAATACCGATATCTTTACAATCAGATGGTGTAAACCTTTGATATTTCAAACTTATATTATTTGGTCTAACATAATTCATAGTTTCAAATATAAAAGGTCTACGACATTTGGTAGCAAAGATATAGAGATTAGAAAGGTTGTGACAAAAACTCAGTTCCTTAGGATAACCCATAGCTATGCTCCATATTTTTTACTTATTGTTTCCCATATATTGCTCGGTCAAAACTTTAATTTTGTGATCAATCATTTATCCATATCTTTTGTCCTATGACTGGAAAAAAAAGATCGGGATTCTAGATTAGAGATTTCTCACACAAATTCGACTTATGGTGGTGTTACAGGGAACCCGAGGTTAAAGCTGTGATGGACTGGATGAGAAAGAACGATTTTATTCTCTCAGCAAGCTTTCATGACGGGTAGGAGAAATACAAGGGTTTTATTTATTGTTTAAACTGAAATTTATAATATTTATTTAACTTAGGAATCATATCATTTTTCTAAAGATCTTTACATATATATATATATATATATATATAAAGGTGCAGTATGATTATACATCCCTGGGATGATTCTCCGGCCTGTACTCCGGACCATAATGCAGCTTGCTCCGAGGACGAAACCTTTCAAGAGTTATCTCAGGAACATGATGATCACATTTTCATATACTATATAATATGGAACAATTTTAATCCCTAGAAAAGAAAATTCTTGTGTACTACGAAACTGACAATTTAAGAAAAAACTGGATCTATTGTTACGTCATTTAATAGTGTTCTTAGTAAAAAAAACCTTACGTGTCTTATTTCTATAATATGTAAGGTTTGATCAAAATCACATGAATTCCACAATCTTTTTTTTAAATTAAAATTAAAGATGTGACTTTGAATAGAATTTTGTAGAACACTTTTTTCATCGACATTTACTTTGTAATCTTTAAGTTAAATCTGGTGTTTTTCTAATTGGTTAACAAAACTGTTAATATCTTTGTTACATTAACTAGGCTTTTATATTATATTTCAATTTTAAACATTTTCTCTTTGTTTGCATTGTAAAAAAAACAAACAAAATTTTGCGCGGATTTTATAAAAAAAATTTCGTGGAATTTTAAAATTTTTCAAAAATCGAATTTTGTTAGTGGCAAATTTTTGTAAACTCGATCATCCATATACCTCCCCTGTAGTCACGTGAGGTCCCACAAAATATTTGGGCCTGATTGGTTCAGTCGTTTTGACGTTTATTGGATACAAACTAACAAACAGACAAACAAGAAAAGTATATAAAAAGATGATATATTAAAGGGACAGACCGGCTATGTAAGGTAGTTCAACTGAGTATGCAGTGTTGTGGAAAACTTCTTTCGGATTCATTTGAGACATATTAAACTTTTTGAAGATCTGTAAATCCTGAGTTTAAGCGCAAAGTCGACGTTCAAAATCGTACTTTTGGGTGGAAACGTTTTCATACTTGTTTTTTTTTTTTAATTATTAAATGTAAACAAAATTCTACAGTAAACTAATTAGTTGTTTAAGAACAGGTTGAGAAAATAAGATAATTGTTATCATCGAAAATAAGTAATCTTGTTCAATTATTAATTTCTATTTTCTCATTATTCTAGTTTCTCATTATTCACAAAGATTTTCTACAGATTTCCTGGAATTATTATTGAAAAGACGACATTTGAAGAATTTGTAGAAATCTGCGAATAAATTCATAGAAAATAAGAAATTCAATATAATGGTGAAAACGAAATAATTGATTCTAGCATTGATTTATTGAAAAATTTCTTTTGAGAAATATGTTCCTAACCATCTAATTAGTTTATTGTATAATTTTTACTTTATTTTTCTTTATTTAATAATTTCAAAAAACCGATTCTGAAAACTTACCCACCCAAATTCATGATTTTGAACGTCGACTATGCACTCAAACTCAGTAATTATAGATCGTGAAAAAGTTTTATATGTCTCAAATGAATCCTAAAGAATTTGTCCACAACACTGCATATTCAGTTTAACTGTCTTACATAGCCGGTCTGTTCCTTTAAAGTTTTAAGCCGAAAAATTAAAATATATTTGGTTTTTAGTAATCAAATAATCATCTCGTGCTTAGATTTATGCATTTAATCATTCATTTATGTTTAAAGGGTAACTATTCATTTTCGTTTTTCTAAATTGTTGAATAATAGCTAAGCTGGCTAAAACTAAAACTGATGTTTAGGAAATGTCCCTGCCATAATGAGTGGTTTGTCCTGGGAGATTACAAGTTTGAAAACACAGAAACAGTTCACAACGGAATGCAGGTTAGTATAATGTTATTACCAATGAATCTTCTTTTTCATGTTTCTTTACACTAATTCCAGGGAAGAAAAGGATATTTCTTGATGCATATTTAAGAGATTGGTAATTCCCCATCATAAATATTCACTATACTCTATACCTAAAGTGTGATTTGACCAGTGTTATACCATTGTAGCAAGGGATTAGTAGGATTTGCCATTGCCGACCAGTAGGACAGAAAATAGACGAAATACCTGACAATAGGACTAAGGAGCCCAGATCTATCAGAGTGTTCGAAAGATCTAACCGACCGGGGTACACTATATAGATCAATTACAATGTTAGGATTTCTTCTAATAGTGTACTGTATTGTATTTGTAGCTTGTGTATTTTGTATAATTGTATATTGTATATTGTACAGAATACAGCTTCTAAACGTACTTTTAGAGTTTACTTTTTAAAAGAAATGGTGTGATATAATATTGGCACAAATGGTATTAAAATTCAAAGGTCCACTAAAATCATATTAAAAATCCCCCTTAAATAAAAAAATCTGTTTAGGATTATAATTACTTGTTTACCAACTGTATGGAGTTAACTATAGAACTATCCTGCGAGAAAACCCCTCCTGTATATTCTCTACCAACCCACTGGAATAATAATAGGTGAGAAAAATAAGAAAACTATTTTCTCGAATTCAAGGCGCTACCTGCCCAACTAACCATCCAGTTCAAAAATACAATAGACAAGACTAGTAGGCAAACATTCAATGTAAAAACGATGATAAAAATGAAACGGCATAATATCCACGATTGCTTAAATTCATGAAATTAGTATCAAGTATTATAATAATAAGTACATATAATAAAAATGAAATTCAAATTTAGTAAGAGTATACTCGCATTCCTAGCCGCAGCTAATAGTGGAGTCAAGGTTGTATATTTTTGATATTTTTTTCGATTAGTAGTTTTTGTTTTTCCTGATTTACACAAAAAGTAGGCGTGTATATAAACTTATATAAATTATGTAGATGTATACATATTTTATAAATTTATAAATTTATAAAAATATATATCTGTAATAATTTGATTATTGTGTTTATTTCATGAACAATTTTAGTTTACATAGGCGTAACAACAAAAAGTTTCGGAAGGGGGCGGGAGATAATTCAAAGTTTTTTTGTTGTAATTTTTACTTTTAAAGTCAAAGAAGGGTAGATATGATGATAGAATGGGGGCGGGAAGGATCCTCATAGTTGCACAGATCACAATTATTAATAACAAATTTTAATGCCAAAGAAGGTTAATATTAAGACTTTTCCTTCGAAGGCTAGTCGAGTGAAACAGGGAAATTGAGGAGAATTTACACAAATAAATTACGATTTTTCGGAGTTTAGAAATTATTGGTTTGAATTCATTTTTTCCACGTTTTTGAGAAAAATCTCCAGACAACACAAAATATAACTTTTTAAAATTTAGATTTAGTTTTTTTGGCACGAGCACTGCGGGGGAAAAATTGTCATGAGTTTATACTTTCAGAAGTTTGTCTCTTCCAGAGTTTGCATTTCAATAGTTTGTATTTTGTGTGTTTGTTTTTCTTGAGTTTGTAGTGTCCAAAATTATCGTTTAGTATCCTACACCTCGAATTTTCTAATTTATTTTTATAATTCAGGGCCTGGTGGTGGATATTGAGGGGGTTCCTGTACTAGATGCCAGGGTTAGAATTAAAGGAATAGATAAGGAGATAATCACCTCACACACAGGAGAATACTGGAGAATATTAATTCCTGGAGAATATCTAATAAAGGTATTTTAGCGTCGTAAAAAATTAGATGGGAAGAGATTAGATTGTATTGAATCCATACCGAAAACATTTTTCTGTGCTTCATAATATTAATCTAATTATTTATGAATACTTTTACGCTCTCTCAAAAGTTGGTCCAAAGGACATAGGCTGTCGGTAATATTATTTCACACCACTTTTCCATCCAGCATGATCATCTTCTACTCAATTATTTTTGCGACCCGCTAGCTCTCCTATCATTAAATTTACTTAAATTTTCTTATTTTAAGTGCCTGAATTTTCCTCTTGGTAGTCTTTATGAATTACTGCCTAAAAGAAGTGTTACAATTCTTTAAGTTACCAGGAAGTCAATGGCAAAAATGCATTAATATCTTTTTCTTGGCGCTACGACATCTGCTCTAATTCCATTTGCTCTATGGTCATTTGCTCTAGTTCCATTTGCTCTATTAACCATTTGCTCTATAGCTCACAGATCACGACGTTTGCTCTATATGTCATCTGCTCTATACGACAATTGATCTATGACATAACACGTCATTTGCTCTTTAAACATTTTTATGATTGTGATGGTCCAATTGCTCTACTCAACATTTGCTCTATGAGTAAACACGTCATTTGCTCTATAAACATATTTTACAAACATCTAATCATATTAAAACTATATTTTTACAATTTTACATTTTACAGTTCTTCCTACAGCTTCATTATTCCACCAAATTCCTGGAGATAGTTTTGTTTGTCTGGTATTTGTGCATATTGTGAGACCAAGCTAAATATAGTTTTCACCACATATTAGGTTTTTTTACCCCTCTTATTATTGAGCAGTCTCGCTGTCATGATGAACTTTGAAGAACTGATTAAAACTGCAATTTGCGAATTTTCCAAAAAAAATCTCGCATTTCGTAGTCAAGTTACGCTCAGGAATTCCAATAAAAGCTATTTTGTAGTGTATTTTTAGCTTATAGAGCAAATGACGTGTTTAGTCATAGAGCAAATGAGGTATAGAGCAGATTGAATATAGACCAAATGACTTGATAGATCAAATGGAACTAGAGCAAATGGCCATAGAGCAAATGGAAATAGAGCAGATGTCGTAGCGCCCTTTTTCTTTCATCTTCCTCTTTTTGTCAGAGTATTTTACTTAGAATTTCTTAGGAAGAGGTATGAGAATAAAAAAGACAACCTGATGGTGTAAACCTTTATATTCGATTATTTGATTTAACTTGGATTAGAAAATCAAAGTTTGTGGCAAAGACGCAATGAATAAGATAATTTTCTGCTTTAGGTCGAAAAAAGACTAATCTATTAATTTCTTTTATATTTCTCCCCTTTTCTCCTTCCCCCCTTTTCCATCAACTCTATCATTATTTTTTTATTCTTTCCTTTCCCTCCTCCTTCCTTTAATTCCCCTACCATGAACTGAAATTTGACCAATATGGTTTTATTAAACTGTAATAGGAGAGTTTAGTTTGCTTAATTTGATTAAATTGAGTTTATTCATGAACCTTCAACACAATAAAGAATTTTCATTTTCTAGATTACCTGAATATTGTGTTCTATAATACTAACAGCTGTATTTGAATATGTTTAGATTATATGAATATTGTGTTCTATAATACTAACAGCTGTATTTAAATATATTCTGATTAGATGAATATTGTGTTCTATAATACGAACAGCTGTATTTAGTTATTTAACGATCAAGTTTTAGAATCAAGTTTAGCAATGCAACTTTGAGCATCTAAGTCTGAAATACAGGGTTACCAACAAAGGGTTGGGACTTTAGAGACGACTGTACGGAATTTATACTGTCTCTTTTTGTTCAATATGTTAATCAAGACAACCAAAAACCCAAACTTTTAATCACATTAATACTATTTACTAGGCTAAGAAGGAGACTAAAGTAGGTATACTGGAGAGTGAATGGATCAAGGTTCTGGTTAAAAAAGAACTAGGAGAAGGTTCAGTAAGGTACAGGGTGTCCAACAAAAAAACATGGCAATTGGGATATGAGTTAAACACCGTCTTTGATCTTTGATAAAATTAATGAAAAAGTGTGGGTTCAAAAATCTTCAAGCTTTGTAGTTGGAAAAGGTTTTAAGTCGTGCAACTTTCTTAATATAAGATAGATTATATTTAAAAATTATATAATAAGTGCTCGTAGATATATAAAAGACCATAGCTCTCAATTCTCACGTTTCGTGCAATATCCAGAGAATTGACATCAGAACTCATTAATCAAAGAAAAATATCAGTATCAACAGCAATATTCTTATTATTATATTAAAATAATTTACAACAATTTCTTGCTTAAAAAACAAGAAAACTCGTATTATACCGTATACTATTATACCTGTGATTGTAAACGAAAAAGTCTCAAATAGTAGACGATATATTCTAGAAAAATATCTTGTTTGAAAACCTCTATGATACTGCAATGGTGGAAAATATCTGGTCACAAATATATATGTATGAATAAATCAATAAGATTGTAAAAAAGGTTGGATCTGGTGTGCAGACTAGGAATATATCAGAACCTGAATATATCTGGTCACATGCATATATATGTATGAATAAATCAAACAGGTTGGATCTGGTGTGCAGACTAGGAATATACCAGAACCTGAATATATCTGGTCACATGAATATCTCCAGGAAAATAAACCTTAAATATTTTGTCAACTTAACATTCATAAACAGAACATTTTTATATTTGAATTATACCTGAAAACCAATAACATAAGGTCTATAAAGAGATCTTGATATAACTTACCATTAACGGAACAGAAAAACACACATTCTGTTTTAAACAGTTTTATTTACTGTTGAAGAGAACCGTTTATCTTGTTATCTTTACAGAAACAACGGATATCAATAAAAGCTGTACGAATCGGTTTATGATTTAAATATTTACTACAGTACAGAGACTAACTGGAATATTTATATTTACTACAGTACAGAGACTAACTGGAATATTTATATTCACTACAGTACAAAGACTACCTGAAATATTTATATTTACTACAATACAGACACTAACTGGAATATTTATATTTACTACAGTACAGAGACTAACTGGAATATTTATATTTACTACAGTACAGAGACTAACTGGAAAGAATCTATTATAAATGTGCTCTCCAGCTACAGGAAGCAATGAGAGAATATTAATTCAAACAATTTAAATAAAACTAAGAGACTGTAGGCATAATTTTTAATGATACATCTAAAAAGTGGCATGTCCATTTCACAACGGTACCCGTTCGGCGTTCATACTTTATTGATTAACATTAGGAAGTATAATACGTGGTTTTTTTAATCTTGAAATGTGGTAAATTCTGACAATTTCCTCCATTGTTTCTGCAGCATAAATCTGCTATTGACTTTTGTAGAGAAGCCACAATTAAAAATATGTTAAGCTAGAAAAATTAGGATACCATATTCACACTTGCATAGACGAAGTTTCAAAGAGTATCGTTGTAAATCAGACATGCATCTCTATTGAGGGTGACCTGATGTTATGTCTACAGCCCCTGTCAGGAAAATATGTAAAGATTGAAATTAATTGGATTGAATACTGCACTTAAAACATTCTTTCTATTCAAATCTGTTGGCAGGGGAAACAAATTTTCAAATTTAAGAATTTCTTCTCGGGTTGTAATATTTTAATCTCGGGTTGTAATATTTTAATCTCGGGTTGTAATATTTTATTCTCGGGTTGTAATATTTTACTCTCGGGTTGTAATATTTTACTCTCGGGTTGTAATATTTTATTCTCGGGTTGTAATATTTTACTCTCGGGTTGTAATATTTTACTCTCGGGTTTTTAGAATCAGAGACATAGAAATACAGAGAAGAGAACTGAAAAACAAGGTGGGAATTATTTTTTAAAATCAACCACCCCCCCCCCCACCAACATTTTTTTGCATTTGAATAACACAATTTCCTTATATATCCAAAGTTCAAAGGTTTTTTGTAATGATAAATTTTTCTTTGATCAAAATAAAAATGATAATACTAATAAACTTTTTTTTTGAAGGAGAACCAAAAGTTCTGGTTTGTTGCATACAACGCAAAGGTAAGTTTTGAATGAAAAATGAATTAAACTATTTAAAAATCAGATGATATAAAAGATTGAGGATATTTTGGGGTGGAATTTTTACTTAGTTAAGTGTCGAGATATCTTTTAGGTTAATTTATAATATGTTAAAATTTTAAGGAAAAATCTAATTTTTCTATAATCTTAGTTTCTAATAGATAGTTGAACATTTTTAAAGAAATATAAATGGTAGAGATCTAGTCTGTGGACAATAGATGAAAATTTCTTCAGTAATTGAGCCGGGAGGAATAAGAAAAACGATACAAAGGTTTAAGCGACAAATATTTAGAGGCGGGCATAATTAAGAAAGGTCATAAAGAATTGTAGATAGGCTGCAAGTAGAAGATTCACCATCGTAAAATACGTAATTTGTAAGAATCTTGTCTTGTGAGTCTCGTAAACCTTAAAAAATATGGAACCCACGAATATACTTAGAAGAAGGTTAGGGATCTTTGTTAAAGTTATTGTACTAAAACATTAAGTGATCATTGTTAAGGTTCTTGTATAAAAGATCAAGTTATCTTGGTTCTTGTACAAGAAACTGAAGTGGTTTTTAACGTCATGTACATAGGGATCAAGTGATATTTGTTAAGGTGGTTGTACAAGAAGATCAAGTGTCTGTATTTCAGCAGGAAATTTGGGGGGAAAATGGGGTTTATTCTCCCAGGTAAGTAAGGTTAAAAGATACATTAATACTCCCCCCCTCCCCCGGCATATGGTGTGTTTTAAACCTTAAAGATTTAAGGAACATTCGTCTCTTCCGAATATAATAATATAGATCCCCCCTCCCCCGAGGATCTCTATAGTTCTAAGTTCAGTTTACTCCTCTGGGATAAAAACAAGTACTCCACCTTAATATATCAATAAAGACTCCACCTTCCCCCTGACTCCAGGTTTAGTAATCCCCTAGGTAAAAGCTAAAGTACTCAACGACCACACCTACATATATAAATACTGAACACCCTCCTCTTGCCTCGTTTGAGTTTACTCCCTAGGGTCAAAGCACAAGTACTTCACCTAGATATTCTAATATGGACCCTCTCTCCCCTGACTCAAGTTTAAGACACTAGGCTTTTAGGGCTCTACGCGCCCATCTTCTATTTCAACTTTTAATAGTGGCTTTATCTGTGAGCATCTTCTCTTTGTACAGTATAAAACAAAAACAAAAAAGTTCGCGGATTTCATAATATTTTTTCGCGCATTTTAAAATTTTACAAAAATAAAAAACTTTTAACACAAATTTTTAAAATTTTCATCATTCATAAACCTTCCCTGGGGTCACGTGAAGTCCCACACAAAATTTGGGTCCGATCGGTTCAGCCGTTTTGACATTTATTAGACAAACAAACAGTCAGACAAGCTAAATTTATATATAGAAGTCTCCATGGGTTGAAGACAAGTCTCCACGGTTGCAGACAAGTTTCATGGGTTGAAGACAAGTTTCATGGGTTGAAGACAAATCTCCATGGGTTAAAGACAAGTCTCCACGGTTGCAGACAAGTTTCATGGGTTGAAGACAAGTCTCCATGGTTGAAGACAAGTCTCCATGGTTGAAGACATGTCTTAATGGCTAAAGACATGTCTCCATAGTTGAAGACATGTCTTCATGGTTAAAGACATGTCTCCATGGTTGAATTGAAGACATGTCTCCATGGGTTGAAGACATGTCTCCATGGTTGAAGACAAGTCTCCATAGTTGAAGACATGTCTTCATGGTTAAAGACATGTCTCCATAGTTGAAGACATGTCTTCATGGTTAAAGACATGTCTCCATGGTTGAAGACATGTCTCCATGGTTGAAGACATGTCTCCATGGGTTAAAGACATGTCTCCATGGTTAAATACATGTCTCCATGGTTGAAGACATGTCTCCATGGGTTGAAGACATGTCTCCATGGGTTGAAGACATATCTCCATGGGTTGAAGACAAGTCTCCATGGTTGAAGAAAAGTCTCCATGGGTTGAAGACAAGTCTCCATGGTTGAAGACAAGTCTCTACCTAGATATTTATCTATGCAGACCCACACCTGGCTCCAAATTTATTTTACTCCCCTACAAACATAGCTCCACTCCCCAGCTCTTGGTTTATTTTGTTCCCCTAGGTTTGAATATATTACCCTATATCAATGTATTCTACTAGAAATATAATTTAATTTAAACAGGGGGGTAGGGAGGGAGGGCTTAAAAGAATACAGACCATAAAAATATATTTTTATTCAATTATTGAGACAAAATAAGTTAAAAAATAATATCTCTGAGCTTAAACACAGGCTAGTTCTTTCTGTAAAAATTTGAGTTTATTTTTTTTCTTACCAGGTTTTTATTTGTGTTGTATATGTCCTGCAGTAAATGTATTTTAATTTGTTTCTCTAAAAGACGTTCTCACTGGAGGACCGTGATATTTCCAGCCAATGAGAAAAACAGTGTTAGCCAATTCTCTCAGATTGATATAAAATCAAAGTGTTCTATAGGTCGCACACAACGATGATATTGTATTTAGGAAAATGCATGAAGAGATAAAATTTGCAAGAAGACTGAAATCATTTATGGAGGAGAGAATCTCTGGAAGAAATATCCTTAGCACTGGCTGGAATATACAAATTCTAACCTGAAACAAAGTAGATTATCGAAAATGTTCGTAAAAAATACAAAATGAAGCGTGATGAAAATTAAATCCCCTATTTAAATGTTTTTGATATTTTGCTGTTCTTCAAATCATACTGAGGATAAAAAGTTACAAAAATATGATTACTCATAAAATAAAATTGTTTAGTAAAACGAAAAAAGATTTCGTCTTACAAATAGTAAATTTGTAACGTCGTTCATAAAAACCTATCTACTTCTTATTCAGATTTGTTAGCCTTAAGATATAAATCGAAGAAAATATATTTCAGATAAATAATAACAAAAACCGGAGTAAACAATATTATTCTGCAAGATATAATCATCAGAAAATATAAGCGACATTTATGAATAAATGCGGTCTTAAATACGTGTAGGGGGAGCAAGGAAAAATAACATATAAAAACTCGGAACTAGGTACATAATAATTCTAGCTGCCTAATAAACTTTAACCCATGGACTCCCCTTAGAATAGCGCACACAACCAATTTTTGGGTAAAAGAATGTTGACAAAATACGTACATTGTATATTGTTAAATATAATATAACCCAGAAGTTCGGAGACGATTTCTGTGTTAAAAATAATCTTATTTTTTGTAAAGATAAAAAATATCGCCTGAAATACGCAGAAAATATGATCAAACTGCATAATAAAAGTGGGTGCTGATTTGTTTTTAAAATACGACCACGATTTGTTAATACACAGGATATCCGCAGCATACGGTCATTAATAAGCTTGGAAGGCGATATTATAAAAAAAACTTTAGTTGACTCCCAAGTTCTGGATCTACACCCATAATCACAACATTTCCAGAATTTTATTTAATTTAAAATTCAATTCAATTTCAAATATTGCTTCCATCTTTTTATTTAAAGTTCAGATGAAAACCTAAAACCTACAAGAAAAAACGTAGCAGGGTTAAAAATAAAGAGTTATTTAAACAGCTACTCACCCAATACTGAAAACGTGAACGCTATATATCAAATACAAAATTAACAGATAAAAAAGTGTTTGATCAATATTAAGTAGATATAGCATTATTTAGATTATGTAATTTTAGGATCCTGCTTTGTTTTCATTTTGATCTTACTTTAATTTAATCATCGTGTGAAATTTTTCTTTTAAATAAATAAAAGTATCAAATCTTATGATCAACAATGGTAACAATGTATGTAAATTGTTAAGTATAAACGTTTAAAAAATGTTTCACAATCTACGAACTGATACAGCACAATAATTTAAATAATATAAATAATACAAATGATATAAATTACCGCTTGTTTCTGAATTTAAAAAAATGCAATTACAATAAAAAATTACAAAGTTTCACGTGAAACCATTTTATTTAATTACAGAAAGAGGACTGGAGAAAATATTCCTCTAGTTTTGAGAAACGGCAATAATGTAAGAGCAAACAAGAAAGATTTAGGTTTCTTTAAACAAAAACCCAACATTCGATGTTGTTTATTTGAAAATCTTCCTTCCCCGGTAGTGGTTTGTTCTTAAAGGTTGAAACAGCCATTGATCTTCCCTGATTAAAGTTTTCGTCCAACCAAAGTCCAAAATGTCCATCACTAGAACCAACCACTAAACTAGACTGTCCACCCCGGACAATAAAATTATTCTCACCGGTCCACTCATAAACCTGGAATATATGGATAAATCTTAACAACTTTTAAAGTGATCCATCATTGTAATCCATATATTTCTCCTTAAAAATAAATAATTTCAGGGTGGCCAAAACTTTTTTGAACACATCCGTACAAAAAACCGTACATTTTCAGAAGAAATCCGTACAATCCGTACAATTTTCGAAAAACAATCCGTACAATCCGTACAATTTTTTTTTGAAAAAATCCGTACAATCCGTACATTTTTTAAAACCAATCCGTACATTTTTTTAAAAATCCGTACATTTTTAAAAAAAATCTGTACAATCAGTACAATTTTCGAAAAAAATCCCATTTTTGAAAAAAAACATTAAAATTCAATTTTTCATTCATTGTCTTTAGTGTTCAGTTCATGTAAGAGGGTTTAAACTTCTTCAGCAAGAATCAATCTGTAAAAAATTGGCTTCATACATATATACAAACTAAATACTGGGTACATGATACTAGGTGCATGATACTGGATACTGGATACATGATACAGGGTACATGATACAGGATACAGGATACTGGATAC